TCTTCACAGTACTTAGGGTCTGCCTTTGATAGAATTATATTTTTTGGATGGAAGTTGGCAAACAGACAGATTTATATGAGTAGGGTAGACATAGAAAGTAATTATGATCCACAGCACTGAGCATCAAAACTAACAAATGATCAGTATTAACTAAAACAGACTTGTTTAGTCTGTTGGGCAAAGTGAGTCCTAGATTCAGTGCCCATGATTCAATGTAAACAAAACTGGATGAAGTCACTCCAACTCCAAACACTACACAAATGTACAAAAGGCTGCATTGTTGTCACCTGGAATATATATATTATCAACAGATATAATTTGTTTCATTTTCCACTATTTTCTACATCCTTAAAATCATTGTAGAACGCTGGGCGCAGTGGCTCACGCCTGTAATCCCAGCACTTTGGGAGGTCAAGGCAGGCGGATCGCCTGAGGTTGGGAGTTCAAGACCAGTCTCACTAACATGGAGAAACCCCATCTCTACTAAAAATACAAAATTAGCCAGGCATGGTGGCATGTGCCTATAATACTAGCTACTTGGGAGGCTGAGGCAGGAGAATCACTTGAACCTGGGAGGCAGAGGTTGCTGTGCGGCAAGGTCGCGCCGTTGCACTACAGCCTGGGTAACAAGAGCGAAACTCCGTCTCAAAAAAAAAAAAGAAATTACTGGAGAACATGATTATTAATAGCTATATAAGGCCACACTAAAATTGATTTAATTGCAAAACTGCTATACAAGTTTGTCAAAGGCAGCAAAAGCACTCTTCTCGGGATTTAAAAACCCAAATGTCACTATTAAATATTTGCTGTTTTGATACCCCCCTTGCCAAAAAGGACTTCTTTTATCTGTCTTGAAGAAAATATTAACTTTTGGGGCTGGGCACGGTGGCTCACGCCTGTAATCCCAGCACTCTGGGAGGCCAAGGCAGGCAGATCATGAAGTTAAGAGATTGAGACCATCCTGGCTAACACAGTGAAACCCCATCTCTACTAAAACATAAAAAATTAGTCAGGCGTGGTGCCATGTGCCTGTGTCCCAACTACTTGGGAGGCTGAGGCAGGAGAATAACTTGAACCTGGGAGGTGGAGGTTGCAGCGAGCAGAGATTGCCCCACTGCACTCAGCCTGGGTGACAGAGAGAGACCCTGTCTCAAAAAAAAAAAAAAAAAAAAAAAAGAAAATATTAACTTTTTTTATTTTTTGGAGACAAGGTCTCGCTCTGTCACCCAGGCTGGAGTGCAGTAGCACAATCAGGTGTGCACCACCATGCCTGGATAGTTTTTTAGTACTTTTTGTAAAGATGAGGTTTCACCATGCTGCCAAGGCTGGTCTTGAATGCCTGTGCTCAAGGGATCTGCCTGCTCTACCCTCCCAAAGTGCTGGGATTACAGGTATGAGCCACCACACCCAGCCTTATTTTCACTACATATTAAGCAGTGTATCTTGTCAGTGTAATTTTTTTTCTGACACTGATTTTTGCTCTTGTTGCCCAGGCTGGAGTGCAATGGCGCAATCTCGGCTCACCACAACCTTCAAGCGATTCTCCTGCCTCAGCCTCCCGAGTGGCTAGGATTACAGGAGCCTGCAATGACACCTGGCTAATTTTGTATTTTTTAGAGATGAGTTCTCCATGTTGGTCAGGCTGGTCTTAAACTCCCGGGCTCAGGTGATCTGCCCACCTGGATCTCCCAAAATACTGGGATTATAGGCATGAGCCACTGCACCCGGCCTGGTATCATTTATTAAATAAATTTTTAGCAAGAAGGAATCTTATAGATCAAGTCCAGTATTGCCATTTTATGAGGGAGCAAATCCAGGTTAAGTTGCCTCTCCAAGGTAACTCAGCTTGAGGAGCAGAAAACAGAAATTAGGGAACTAGGTAATTTCTCTAAATAAAACACTTAATACAAACGAAGGAATATACATATGTGGCTGGGCATGATGGCTCAAATCTGTAATCCTAGCCCTCTGGACAGTCGAGGACGGAGGATCACTTGAGGCCAGGAGTTTGAGACCAGCCTGGGCAAGACTTTGTCTCTACAAAAATAAAAATAGGCCAGATGTGGTGATACTGTCTGTGGTCCTAGCTACTCCAGAGGCGGAGGCAGGAAGATCACTTGAGCCCATGAGTTTGAGACTACAGTAAGTTATGATGGTACCACTGCACTCCAGCCTGGGAGACAGAGCAAGACTCTGTCTCTTAAAAAAAAAGAATGAAAGCACACACTTTTTGAAGAATAGTAAGTACTGGTGAATTGACCCACCTACTTATGATACAGAACTGTCTGACAAAGCTTAAGCTTTCTGCCATAATGGAAATAATCTGTAAGTACATTGTCCAATATGATAGCCACAAACCACATGCGACTACTGACAATTGAAATGTAGTGATTTTGTTCCTGTTTCAAAAATACTTATGTCTTTGGCTCAATTCTCTATTTATCGAGTTTGTTTTGTTTTTTGTTTTGTTTTGTTTTGAAGACAGAGTCTCGCTCCGTTGCCCGGGCTGGGGTGCAGTGGTGTGATCTCAGCTCACCACAACCTCCGCCTCCCAGGATTAAGAGATTCTCCTGCCTCAGCCTCCTGAGTAGCTGGGATTATAGGCACATGCCACCAAATCTGGCTAATTTTTTTGTATTTTTAGTAGAGACGGGGTTTCACCATGTTAGCCAGGCTGATCTCAAACTCCTGACCTCAGGTTATCCAACCATCTCAGCCTCCCAAAGTGCTGGAATTACAGGTTTGAACTATCGCACCTGGCCTTAAATTTATTTTTTTATTTTTTAGAGAGACGGTCTCTCGTTCTGTCTACCAGGCTGGCATGCAGTGGCACAATCATGGCTCTCTGCAGACTCAAACTCCTGCGCTTAAGCTATCCTCCTGCCTCAGTCTCTCAAGTAGCTGGTACTACATACATGAGTAACCGTGCCCAGCCAAAATTATTTCTGGATATTAAACGATTATATTATTTGCCTACTGCAATGAATGGTCAGGGAATCCCAAACATTTGCTGGACTGACTTGTTTCCGATGAGTTTCCTTAATTTATACAGCCAACAGGTACTTATTAATAAGCTACCTATGTGCCAGATTCTACGCTATGCACTGATGGAAAAAAAATCCTCTACTATTCTACTCTCATCCTTGAGAAAACTTGTCTTTTCTTTTCCTTCATTCCAGTTCCACCAGAAGTAGGCTCTATGTTTGAGTCTTAAACAATTCAGGGAAGGGAGGGACCGTAAAAAAACAAAACAACAAAAAAAAAAACTTGAACAATTCTTCCCATCGAGCAATCCATCATCCTCTACACATTAAAACTTGAATGGTTCTTTTAATTTCATGTCCTCTGAAGAGGTCACAGAAAGGGTAGATATCCTAAGCATGACCATACTTCTCTTCCTACAAGATCTGCACCTGTCGCAGTAGATAAATTCAATCAAGTCACTTACATAAATAATTTCAATCTTGGGGCTTCAAAACCTCCCACGACTATGCTAACTGTCCCAACAAGGAAAGAAGCAAGTACAATAAAAATGGCATAAACTATGGTTTCCGCATGAGGAATTCTTAAGAAGCATTAAGAATTACTATTCTGGGGGGCTGAGGAGGGTGGATCACTTGAGGTCAGGAGATCCAGCCCAGCCTGGCCAACACGGTGAAACCCTACCTCTACTAAAATACAAAAATTAGCCTGGCATGGTGGCGCGCGCGCCTGTAATCCCAGCTACTCGGGAGGCTGAGGCACGAGAATCGCTTGAACCTGGGAGGCAGAGGTGCAGTGAGCTGAGATCGCACCACAGCACTCCAGCCTGGGCAACAGAGCAAGATCTGTTAAAAATAATAATAATAATAAAATAAATTATTTAACTAGGAAACTGGTGAAAACTAGTTTTCTTTTTTTTTGGGGGGGGGGGGACGGAGTTTCGCTCTTGTTACCCAGGCTGGAGTGCAATGGCGCAATCTCGGCTCACCGCAACCTCCGCCTCCTGGGTTCAGGCAATTCTCCTGCCTCAGCCTCCTGAGTAGCTGGGATTACAGGCACGCGCCACCATGCCCAGCTAATTTTTTGTATTTTTAGTAGAGACGGGGTTTCACCGTGTTGACCAGGATGGTCTCGATCTCTTGACCTCGTGATCCACTCGCCTCGGCCTCCCAAAGTGCTGGGATTACAGGCTTGAGCCACCGCGTCCGGCCGAAAACTAGTTTTCTTAACTAGAAAACTGGTGGGGATTTCCTCAGATTGTACACTGGAGACTCAGGCTAGTCAGGCCGAGGAAATATAGGTCAGATTTCTAGGTCGGCCCGCCTACTCCTCAACTTTAAGATCTCTCCAGGGCCTTCAAGCTGTCTTCATCCCTAAATATACTCAGGTCTTTCATTCACCGCAGTTATTTAGTACCTATGTTGTTGTCTAGCATAGTGGCTAGATGAAAGGAATACAAAAGCAGTGTCTGCAGTCAAAGGGGCTCACAGCAAGAGTAAGATTTGTAAATACATAATTACTCCACAATGTGATAATCGATTATCTTTGAAAGCAGAAGGGTTGATTCAATCTTCCAGGGAGTGACTGAGTTGGGTCTTAAAAAGGACGAGCTTTGCAATTCAAGAAAAAAGGTAGGCCATTTTAGCAGACAGAAAGGCGTGGTTACAGGCGTGCGCTGGGAGCTGTTTGAGGTCAGTGAAGCTGGAGGTATCAGGAGGACTCGCACCAGGTAGAGGTTGGGAAACCCCCGAGTTGCGGGAGAAGTTAGAATCCAAACTGCTTCAACCCTCCCTGGCGCCTCTGCCCATAGCCCGTTTCACACCAGCCATCCCCGCTCCAAGCCTCACTACAAGCAGCAAAACGCAAAACGGAGGCAAACTGGCCAAAGGCGGAGACACCCCGCAAGACCCCGAGGACCCAGACCTGGCCCAGCGCACTGCCCGCACCTTGCCAAGCAGCCGTCTCAGGCCTTCGCAGTCGAACTCCATCTCCATCCTGGTCCAGAGCCAGGTCCCACGACCCCAGCCCCTGAACCTTCTTCCGGTTTTGCTGCAGGACGGAAGCCGCCGAGGGGCAAACTTCCCGGCGGTCCATGGCCCCGCCCCTTCCCAGACTGGAAATTCCACCGGCATTCAACAACGCCCAGGGCTCAGGCAGTGCTGTGCTGGGAGTCGGGCGGCCCCTCCTTCGTGACCCCGGAGTGGGCAAGTGACGAGGGCACGGCCGGAAACGTGTTGGCGTCAAGGAAACCATGACCCATCTTCCTGGAAGAAAACTTGGGGACATTTATGAAGAGAAGACTAGGAAGGACCGAAGTAGAATCACTAAAGGAGGTAGAAGCAACCCACGGTATTCTTGAAGAGTTTCCAGACAGATGTGTTAAATTCCAAAGAGTATCAGGAAAGAGCAAGACCAAAAATTGCATTTGAATTTAGGAAGGAAGCGGCCATGGAGCTTCAGAAGCAAAATTTCAGTGAGTAGAAAGTAAAACAGGAAAAAGCCGGGTGAACAAAAGAGTTGGAAAACAAGAGAGGAGGGAGATGGGTGAATAAGGTCATCAGGAGAAGGTGGGCAAAGAAGAGATACAGGATACAGTAATTTTCTGGCGTTGGTTGGTCTCCTTGACCCCTAACTGACTTACCAGCCTTGTCTCCCTAGTTTGAGCCACCGAAGCGAAAAGTCTCAGGAGCTGGATATTGTAATTGTCAAGTGGTTGAGCATGTATGTAGAAGGGAGATTGTATTTATAGGAAGATCTGAAGGGAGAGGCTGCTGTGACTCTGGAGAAGAAACTGAAAAGCTGGAAGGAACATTCATTCAAAAAGGTTTTGTTGAGCTATTTTACAAGGTCTCAGGATACAGCAGCAAACAAAATACAGGTATTGATCGACTTACGACCTATGCAACTTACGACCATTCAACTTTACGACCACAGTCGCCAGCCACGACTACTCCGCGTCTGGCAGCGCAAACGTTGCCCAGCTGGGCGTAAGCAGTGCGGACCAGCTTCCGGCAGCACTTCCATCTCCACGTGCACCATTCAACTGTTATCCCAGACTCGGTACAGCAATTTGTGTTTCGTGTCTTGGATATTTTTCATCAAACCCCTCCCAATAAGCTTCTTATACATTTCGAAGCAATGGACCCAAACATCGAACGATTTGCAAGGATTGAACGGATGGCGCCCGATGTGTTTCGTCCGTATCGTGATATTTATGAAGAAAAAAAGAAACATACAATTCAGACAAAGCTCACCATGTTTATGAAAAAACCAACTCCGGTAACCCCAACTGCTGCCTCAGATGACGACTTCAACGATCCGCAGCCAAGCACCAGTGCCCAATAAAATGTTTCGTACATGTTTATATATTTTGATATGTTTGGCAATTGGGAAAATGTTTCCTATGGTATTTTTTACACCTGTATTTTGTATTTTTGTATGCACCTGTATTTTGTAATTTTGTATGTTTTGCAAATATTAAACCAGTTGTACTGGTAATGCAGTGTTTTACTTAAACCTGACAAATGTAAAAATAAGAAACAAAATGGTGTAGAGATGATACAAATGGCATAAAATGAACGAAGAAAATTATGATATATAACAATAATGAAAGAAAATTATGATAAAATATGACTTAAAGATTTTTATAACATCATTTCACAGTAGTATACATATAGCCTACTCAACTTACGACCAACTTGTGTTACGACCGGTCTGTCTGAACCAATCGTGGTCGTAAGTGGAGCACTAGCTGTAGACAAAATGGCTGCTGTCTTAAGGCTGTCATTCCTTTATTAGCAGAGGGAAAGCAAAACAATAAATATAATAAGTAAATTATTCAGCATGCCAGAAGGTTGATAACTTGTCGTGGAGAATAAATTCTTAAAAGTGTAAGGAGATTGCATAGGTCTCACTGAGGGGTGAGGGAGTAAGTGTTCTAAGTCAGAGTGCAGACAAAGCAAAGGCCTAAGACAGGCACGTGCCCAAGGAGGCCAGTGTGGCTGGAGTAGAATGAAATAAGATGGGAGTAGAGACAAGGAGGCTAAGTCAGGGAAATAAGAGAGGAACAAATGGTTTAGGGAAGTGAGTCTTCTAGTGTGATCCCCAGACCTGCAGTCTCAGCCTCATCTGAAACTTGTTAGAAATGAAGATTCTGGCATGGCGTGGTGGCTCATGCCTGTAATCTCAGCACTTTGGGAGGCTAAGGTAGGGGGATCACCTGAGGTTGGGAGTTCGAAACCAGCTTGACCAACATGGAGAAACCCTGTCTCTACTAAAAATACAAAATTAGCTGGGCGTTGTGGTGTATGCCTGTAATCCAGCTACTCGGTAGGCTGAGGCAGAAGAATCACTTGAACCCAGAAGGTGGAGGTTGCGGTGAGCCGAGATTGTGCCATTGCACTCCAGCCTGGGCAACAAACGCGAAACTCTGTCTCAAAAAAAAAAAAAAAAGAAAGAAATGAAGATTCTAAGACCCTAAGACCTCACCCCAGATTTATTCAATCACAAACTCTGGGGTTGGGGACCAGCAATCCATTTTAACAAGGCTTCCAGATGATTCTGATACATGAGGAAGTCCAAGAACCACTGTGGGACTTTGTAGACAATTATAAGGACTCTAGCCTATCAGTGCCCTCCAGCCAGAGACAATCAGGAACACACCTGTACTTAAACACACCTGTACTTAAACTTGTTTAATAGTTCTTAATAGTTCATTGTTCATAGTTCTTGCAGCGAGGAAGCAGGTGCTGTGGAGAACCATTGGGACAGCTTGGTGAGAGAGAGAGAACCTATTATAGGATTTGGGCAATTTGCGGGAGGGCCAAGAAAGCCAGGCTTCACCCTGGATTGGGTGTTATCAGAAAGCAGGGACACTTCTGTAACTAGGTACCTGAATAAGTATTGTCTGTAAGATGGACAGATGAAAGTGAGGATAAAGCTATACTCGATGGAGAAGCAGCAGTCACTCGTAATAGCAGAGGATGTTTGTTTTCTCATGGCTCACACAGTGACTTTGCTCTCTTGTCTCTGCTTAGACAAAATTATGAAATGACCTTGTTGCGTCTCACTTTCTTATAGTCTGACCTTGTCTGATATTGGTGTTCTGTGAGATTATGTCCCACATTAGAATAACTGGGCCAAGCTGTGAGCACCAGCCCAACTTCCCACAACCCTGAAGTCTAGCTGTGTCAGACCATCTCTCAGATGTCAGGGCCTGCCTCTTCCTTTCTCAGGCTTTTAATCTGGGAGAAAGAGAAAGCCACTGAGAGGTTTTGAACAGAAGAGTGACATGATATGACTGAGCTTTAAAAAAATATTAATAACTGTGGTATTGTGAAGAGGCAGCAGTTTGGGGCGAGAGTAGAAGTCAGGAGACAAGGTAGGAGGAAGATTACAGAGAAAGTTAAAGGATAGAAAGCCTGTTAAGTGTATCTCAGCCAGATAACCAACCTTGAAACAGAACTGCCAGGGGCTCAAAGTTCTAATAGATCCTGCCAGAAATCCATTGTATGGCCGGGCGCAGTGGCTCACGCCTGTAATCCCAGCACTTTGGGAGGCTGAGGCG